CCAGTGCCTTCAGTGCAGCTTGAACTTCTTCCTTCAGTACCATCAGTTCTTGATCATATACTGCCTCTTGAAATGGCTGAACAATGATCATTTCTTTTGGGTACAGTCACTCGGTGTATCCTCCCATCTTCTTTGCATGCTTTCTGCTTCATTCAGTATTTTGCCCACAGAATTCTTCAATACCCAAAGTCAAGACTTGACTTTTTCCTTCAGTTCTTTCAGCTTGAGAAATGCTGAGTGTGTTCTTCACTTTTGGTTCTCTAACTCCAGGTCTTTGAGTAATTCATTATAGTATTTGACTTTGTCTTCTCGAGTTGACCTTTGAAGTTTTCTGTTCAGCACCTTTGAAGTTTTCTGTTTTACTTTTTCATTTCTCCAATTGCTTTAGCTTCTCTATGCTCAAGAGCAAGTTTCTGAGTCTTTTCTGACATTCAATTTAGTCTTCTCTTTCTTCCTTGTCTCAATAACAATTGTTACAGTTAGAAACATGGATGTTTGGATTATAGCTGGAGAATTTAAGCAAGTTTCTTTACCTGGCTGTGCCTCATAAATGAATTTAGAGTAATAACAGTAGCTAACCTTATATGGATATTATGAGTATTGAATGAGTTAATATAAATAAAGCCCTTGGACCCATTTTGGGGTCATAGTAAGCCTTCAATAAACATCAGTTTTGATTTTTGCAGTGAGGCACTGATTAAGCCCTTCACAAACACTTTTGTATGATCTTTAGAACAAACCTGTGAAGTAGGTCCTATCTCAGTTTTACAGATAGGATCACAGAGGCCACACAGTTAGGAAATGGTCGTGTTGGGTGGCATTCAGTTCTGGTTGACACTTAAACCCTATGCTATGCATTTTCTAAGATGGCGAAGATGAACCAACTTGTTCAATGGGTCATATGACTGTGAGCAGAACATGAGTGTTTAAGACTTTTTATTTTGTTTTCCCAGAAAGTGTCAGGGTACTAATCTAGGGGGATACAGAAGGAAGCACGACTGTGAATCAGCCGCGAGATTATACAAGTCAGGATGGAGCCTACGTCATCGCAGGAACCAACAATGTCACTAAAAACATCAGCTGCTGATTCCAATATAGATTTCCCTTTAAAACATGAAAGGAGAGTTCAAAGAGAATGAGCTAGATAGCTCCGAAAGTTACATTATTACCATGTATTTGGTTTTTGTTGTTGTTTCAATGAGACTTTATCCTCTCATTAACGTTACTGTTAATTTTCATGGATTTCTCTTAGTTTATCATCTCAATCTGGGCTACAAAGGATTATGTTTAAAGTACATGGTAGTATATTCAGTCTTCTTACAACCTTCAGGATTTCAAAATTAAATGAATTCAACACAATAAACATTTACCAAGTCCCTATCAAGAGTCACAATGAAAAAGACATAGGTCCTGATCTCAAAGAACTAGGAGTCTCAAGAGCTGTGCTGTCAGTAAAGTAACCTCTTGCCATATGTTACTATTTAAGTTCAAATTGGTTGAAAATAAAAACTCAGTGCCTCAGTGGCACTGAGCACATTTCAAGTATTCAGTAGATATATGGGACTATGGGTGCCACATAGCACAGAGCAGATACAAAGCATTTCCATCACCACAGAAAATTCTACTAGACAGTCCTGCTCAAGGCCAAGAATTCTGGGTCAGGAATTGTGTGCTCCTAGTTTGTGTTTGGAGTGCAGATTACTTTTACAGAGTGACATTTGGGAAACAGCACTGTTCTTCAGTTTGAGTCTTGAACTGATTCAGATTCTGTCTGTCACTGTTCCACCTATACAAAACTTTGCCCTTCTGATTCCAGTTTCCAGTCTAAAACAAGGACATCAGACCACAAGATCTCTATGATGCCTTCTGTTCAAAGATCTTGGGATTCTGTGAGTTAATAGATAAAACATTCTCCGTGTTCACACAACATGCCACAGCTGAAAGAAACAGCGAACAACTTATAACTCCCAACATAATTTTTGTTTTTCATTTGGAAATTTAATTTCAGATTCACTCTAATAGTCAATACTAAAGCTTTTATGTGTAGTTCTAAACACATTGAGTTGAAAAAGTGAAATTATCCTAATATTTATTTTTCTACTTTGTTGAGGTCTCCCTAAAGGAAATTTAAATGAGTATTTTATACATACTCTAAGTAGTTCAGGTTCCCTTGCGATACTGTAGGATAAGCACTGGGCTGCAAACCAGAAGGTCAGCAGTTCAAACCCACCAGCCACTCTCAGAAACCCTATACATGGTTGCTATGAGTTGGAACCAACTCAACGCCACACAACAACCATTAAGCTCTGAAACCTTCTTGCCTCAGCAGTAGACTTATAATTCTGTTACTGCACTGACAGACAGTAAGTGCCCAGTACTTGGTCTCTGACAGAGGTGAAAGTCTATATAGTAGCTTCCCCACAAATGACCTTTATAAAATACCAAACCCTATGTCATGTCTAAGGAGCCCTGGTGGTAGAAAGCTAAGTGCTCAGCTATAATTGATAAGTCAACAGTTCAAACCCACCAGCTGCTCCAGAGAAGAAAAGACCTGGCACTCTTCTCACATAAAGATCCCCACCCACTGCCATTGAATCGATTCCAGCTCATAGCAACCCTACAGGACAGAAGTGAATTGCTCCTTCGGGTTTCCAAGGCTGTACATCTTTCTGGAAGGAGACTACCTCATCTTTTTCCCAAGGAGTGACTATGAAGTTTGAACCATGGACTTTTAGGTTAGCAGCCAAGAGCTTTAACCACTGTGCCACAAGGGCTCCTTGGTAAGATTACAGCCTAGAACAGCCTATGGGGCAGTTCTACTCTGTCCTGTGGGGTCCCTGTGAGTCAAAATTGAAAGGATGGCATGCAGCACCTAACAACAATGCTATGTCTATACAGAGGAAATGAAAGACCTTTCACGTATGAGATATGGAGGTCCATCTTCTAACTTAAGGACTGTCAGAATTGACTCAACGGCAGGGAGGGTTTTTTGTTTTTGTTTTTGTTTTGTTTTTTGGAGAATGCCTGTTGGTGAGAAATTGGCTGACAGAAGAAACTTACTCATTTCCATTACTGCACAGTGTATGAATACATTTAATGGTATTCCTTAAAGAAATACCCGTCCCATTTCCTTCTAAGATAACTATCTTCTTCTTGTGGTGTTATTGAAGCCTTGACCCTCCAGATGTCCTCATGTACCTGTGTTCCTCTTTCCCATATCAGCTGGAAAGTTAACAACTTCCTTTGTTTTCTTTCTTTTTATTGAGAAGACTGAGAAAGTTACATGGGACCTGCTCCCAGGCGGTAGAGCCTGAGGAGAAAAACTTTAGTTCAGGAACCCTAAACTAGGTTTTCAGTACTTTGTTCAAACACAACTCCTCAATAAAAAGAGGCTTCTGGTTCCAATGGGAGGCACGAATGCCCCTGCAGTGGAATTTAAGAGTGAGGGGGTTTTAGTGACTGAGCTGCCTTTTCCTGCTTTTTATCTGTGCTGTGGCAACTTGGGTCTCTGGTTATGTTCTTATATTCAATCCACCTTTCTAATCTTTTTCTTTTGATAACAATTCTGAAATCACATGAACTGGGAATTGATACCTACTCCATGGGTGGTTCACTAGTAGAATTCTTATCTTCCATGTGGGGGACGTAGATTTGATTCCCATGGGTTTCCCACACGAAGGGTGAGAATTCTACTGCTGAACATCCTTTGTTTGAAACACCTCTGTCCACTCTGTGCTCTCCTCTACACATTGGAATTACCCAAGGAGCTTTTTTTAAAATGCTGGTGCCCTGGTCCTGCTTCTAGAGATTCTGATTTAATGAGTTTGGGGTGGGGTTTGAGCATAGGTATCTTTGTAAAGCTCCCCAGTGGTTCTAGTGTAGCCACGTCATATGCTGTTTCCTCTCATTAGTTAACCTTCCCCGCTTTTCTTCCTGCTCATCCTAGTCTGGCTCAAGAATCTCATCCCCGAGTCAGGCTTCCACAACCCATTCAGGTAGATTTAGATGTGTCCCTTCTCTGGTCTCCTAGAGGACCCAGTCAGTACTGGCTTCCATTAGAACCTGCTCATTCAGTATTACAATTGTAGAGTTACTCCAAACCCTCTTCCTCATTAGGTCTTAAATTTCTTTCAGGAAGAGATTTTAACTCTCTGCCTTGTATCCCTGGAGCCAAGCAGGCTCTGGCACATTTCAGACTCTCGGTAAGTATTTGGTGAACAAATTGATCAAGACTAGGCCATCTGACCTCTTATGAGTTACTTTTTATGAAAGAGACATAGACACAAATGCAACACAGGAGGTTAAGGGAAAAAACAGGTACAAATACAAAATAATGATTTGATAAATCTATAAAAGTAGACAACCTCTACTATTCAAATTACAATTAATTCTTAGTTCTGATGTTTTGTTTTTCTCTTCTGAGGGGAGAGAAGAGATATATTAAGAAATTCCTCTTCTACTACCATTGTTACTGGAAATGAATTCTCTGACTAAATCACTTTGGCTATTCTTTCTTTCTTCCTCCCTGTTCTTTCCTCAGCTGGTCATCCATGTGTGTTTGGAGAAAGGCAGGAAGGTTCACTGCTAAGAATGTTTCTCTCTCTTTTTAAAACTCTTTAATGGTTAGATTTTCTGATCTTCAAAGCAGCCTGTGACCTCACTCCCTTGGCTCCCTATGCTGGGGAGTGAGAGCCCTGGGTATTTTTGTCATTTGAAGAGTTGCATATTTGGACAGCCTCAGACAGCTGGATTGTACAGTCCTCATGAAACTTGAAGGGCTAAGAGCAAGTCAGCGCTTCTAAGCCCCCTCCCACCCTGGATCCAAACACATTGAAAAATTGACACCAGATTCAAGCGTTAAGCAAACATTAAGTTTAGATGTCTTCTCACATTTGACCTCTCCTTGTAAAGACAGCTGCCTTTATCCTCTGCCTTTTTTGCAGTTGAGTCTTTGCTGCTGGTGCTCCACAACCTCTCTCAACTTTTATGATTATCTACAGTGCTTGACCCTGGATAAGTTTGAAAGCTATGATGATGAAACTCAACTCACCCAACGAGCCCTGTCTCTGATGGAGGAAAACCAGTTCTGGGCTGATGTGGTATTTCCTGACATGTATCTCTCCACCAACTCCTTACCACCCAACGTGAAGTACAAGATCCACATGGACATAGATGTGGTAGAGAAAACCAATAAAATCAAAGACAGGTGATGTCTCAGACAATCTCAGAAGGTTATAACCAGTTCTAGAGTATGGGTCAAGGAGAAGGGGCCCTTTTGGCAGGAGGTTTACTTGGAATAGCATAGAAACCCTTTGGAATCAAAGAACTAAGCTAACCAGTTGGATCTGTTAGTTGGTAGGCCTAGGAGCTCTCAGCTACCCTATCTTTACATCCCTCAAATCAGCACTTGTCCCTGGTTGAACTTTGTGCAATTTGGTGATAGAAACTTAAGACATAAAATTGACTTCATGGAGAAATTAGGCTCTTCCAAAGTTGGTAGGAATTACATTTTGTACAGTGTATAGAAAAAGAGAAATAGTCTTGGTTGCACAGTAGTTAAGCTTTGACTATTAACCAAAAGGTAAAGGGATCAGAAAGATGTGGGCTGAGGCAGTTCTATACTATAAAATCACTGCGAGTTAGAATCAACTCCACTGCTACGGGTTCAGGGTTGGTTTGTTATTGTTGTTGCTGTTAAATGCCATCGAGTTGGTACTGACTCATAGCAATTGTGTATACGATTTCCAAGGAGTAGCTGGTGAGCTTGAACTGCCAACCTTCAGGTTCAAAGCAATCTTATAGTCCAGCACATTAACCCATAGTGCCACACCAGGTAAGAAATTTAAACTGGGCTCCGCCTTTAGATCAATTACATTAACTAAGAGAAAGTAAGATACCTTATAAAGTAGGAGGTAGAGTCCTTGAATGAAGGCAAGTACAGAATCTCATTGAGGTTAATATTCATAACTGAAATTTAAACTCTCAATGTGAAAATAGAACCGGAAAGTTTGGACCAAAAGTTCCAAGAGAGTGAGTTTCAAGTGTGCTTGTGACATGTGAGTGAGCCCTCCATTCCCACTGGTAGCTTATGCCCTACACTCTGATTTCTTCTCAGGTACTGGGATTCTGGTCCCAGAGCTGATCCTGTGGAAGATTTCTGTTATGTCTGGGGAGGGTTTGCCTTTCTTCAAGACTTGATTGAACAGGAAATCACCAGGAGTCAAGCCTAGGCTAAGTTCCAGTCGGAATCTACCTCCAGCAGATACCTTACCCCTGTTTCGTGGATGACTCGCGAGTCCTAGGTTCCTGCTCCTCTGCCCTGAAGAGATAGTCTGCATGCATGGGTTGGGGACAGGTGAGGGTGCTCCCAGGTTTTCAACCTTTTTGGAGAGAAACCCAGGGACTGGAGCCAGACTGAACAGAATGAGGCTCTGACTTAAAAGTCTGCTTCTTCCAGCCTCTAGCCAAGGGGAGATGAGCAAGTAAAGTGTCAAGGAGAGAGCAAGGAGTTGGTGGTGTGGGTGGAAAAGGAAGGCGAAAATTAAAGCAAGAGAAGTGAGGCTTAGGGAGGGGACAAAGGCTTTTTAAAATTCCCACTACATAGTGTGTTTGGTATGTAGAAGGGTTTTGGTTGGAGTGTTTGCCCAAAGATTGCCAAATCAGCAAATGAGGACTTTACATGGCAAGTAGGTGCGGTTCCAAGGAGCCTTGGTGTAATGCTACTTCTTCTCTAATTAACATTCCCATGATGTATGCTTAATGAAAAGGTAGAGAGGAATGTGTCCGATGCACATGGGCTCCCTTTCCTCCCTACCCATCCATCCCCAGGCTAAGGAAGTGGCCTACTGTTTTGTTGAACATGGATTTGGGGGATTAGAGTAGAGAGAGTCACAGAGAAAGAGAAAGGTGCTGGGAGAGCCCATTTATCAGGTGACCATGGTGGATGGGGTCAGAAATATTCCCAGGACATCAGCAGAGACCTACAATTGGTTAAGGGATTCAACTCCTAGAAGAAAACTAGCAAGTTCCCCCAGTGTACCCATGTGTCTGTAGCGGTTCTGGAAGGAGATAAGCACATACAAACCGAAGGAAGGGCCAAATTGCTAGCCAGTGAAATAAGAAACCCTGGTGGCACTTCAGGATTAACACTGGACTGCTAACCCAAAAGTCAACCGTTCAAACCACCAACAGCTCCAGCTCCCCTGGAGAAAGATGAGGCTCTCTGTTCCCATAAAGATTTATAGCCTTGAAAACTCTATACGGTCACTATGAGTTAGAATTGACCTGATGGCTGAGGTGGGAGACAGTAAAATAAAACCCGGTATGGGCACCAGTTGCTCCTTGGACACCCTTTTACAGGGTAGTTATGAATCAGAACCAACTCTATGGCACTAAAACAACAACGGGTACAGAATCCCTCTCTCAAGACTTTAGTCCAGTTGCTTCTACATGACAAGTTCTACAGTAGGCTAAAGAGAGAACAACTCAAAATGCTAGTAGACATTATGAAATCAGTTTGGGTTTGGATAGTAGACAAAAACATGATGTGAACCCTGGGGCAAAAGTCTAGTTCCACTTTTAGGAGCAGAATTGGAGTGACTGACAGAAAATTGGGGTAGGTGTGGACAGACAGCAAAGATAGGGTCTTTCAATGTGGGAGAGCTCTCTAGTGGTCAATTGCAAAAGTGCAGACTTTATGAACTTCCCATTCTCCTCCTAGGGCCATTTTGAGTGAAACCCTCCCCCACCCTAAAATTTGGCCCTTTCTGTCACCCAGCAGTTTCCAATAGAAGAAAATCCCAAGAACTTACCTATCAAACCACACAAACAAACCATGTGTAAAGTTCACAACAAAGTAATTCCAGATGATCAAATCCATCCTGCCTCCTGGAGTGCTTATCCATGTACCTACTCCACCTGTACATGCCTGGTGGAGACAGTGTTTATTAGAGCTCTGGATCACAGATGGGTTTATTCGCAGGACTCTTGTTCTGGGCTAACTGACACCCACAGGGAGCACAATTATTGCTATCACCTCCACCAATCCCTCTTCTTTATGGTCCAGCCTGTTGACTACAGTGCCAGTTAGCGTGTACTATCTATTTCAGTCACATCCCACATCAAGTCTGCAGCCCTTTGAGGTCTTACAGGGAATGCCTATAACACACACTATGATTTTATTTATGTATTTATTTGAGCTAATTAGAAACCTACTATTTTATGACAACAAAAAAGTAACCCTTCAGTGTAAAAATACAATACATTAAAGCATTTAAGTCCATTGAATGCCCAATAGGGAATGTTCTGCTTTCCCTTCCCTGGGCTTTACTCTCAGTGTAATCATTCAACAAAAGTATACTGTACCTCTACTAGGTATAGGACACTCCACTATTCTGACTCTGTCCTTTTGCTTCAGCTTTATAATCATCCTGAACTGTTGTGTTCCTGTCTTCATTGTTCTGACCTGGATCTACTCTGTCTCCATGACTGTAAAGAACATCCTCTTAGAGAAGGAGTTGAGATTGAAGGAGACTGAAAAATCAAGGTGTTTCCAATGCAGTAATTGGGTGTGTCTAGTTTCTGGACAGCTTCTCTGTCATGTCATTGAGCATCTTCCTCCTGACAATGTTCATCATGGTAAGCCAGATAGATGGAGAAGACCTGGAAAACCCTTGACTAGTTTGGTTCTCTCCACACTTCCTGTTATTAATGAACTTGTGCCTAGATTAGTTATCTGGCCACCAATAGGAGTATGACATTTTAACTGCCTGGCTCTTTCAGCCAATAGGAAGACACTTAGAGGGACAAAGACCTCCCAAGGAGCCACTTCATCATAGCATCCTCTTCCCTTTCACATCATGCCCAAGTTGCTACTTGGTCTACATAGATTACCCAGCCACTTTCCTTGGGTTCCCTTGAGAAGTTGCTGTCAGCAGAGCCCAGCATAGGTTGGTTGTAGGTTCAGAGAGGTTCTCTGTTTCCACATACAGAAGAAGTTAGTACAAGGAGTATTTTTCTAGGAATACTGTTCCAACCACTGATTGAGATTGGAATGTGGCGAGTCACCATTCATGGCTTCCTCAAATAATATTCTTCTGCCTGCAAAAACTCCAAGACCTTTATGTTTTAAAGGATGGAATTTGGTGTCTATCCTTTCTCAGTGGTAAGGAGTTTTTATACCTGCAGATAGTATACATCGGTCCATGCTCTGAAAACATGCAACTACTTTGTAAACTAGAATTGAAAACAAAACTTTGTTTCACAAATGTACTTCAGTCTTTTATTTTTAGCTTCTTTAGGGTAAATTATTTATTATACTTGTTGAATGATAAGGACAACCATTTAGATAGATTTTTGATGTTTTGATTTTACTCTATAAGTTCCTCATATAGTCTCATTAAGCTTATTTTTCCTCTTCTCCTAATTGTACAATGGAACTTCAACTCTTTGCAGAAAAATGCAATTAAAAAATAAAAATTTTAAATATAAACTTTGTTTCTTAGCATAAGCTCTATCAAGTTCAAGATGGTTTTTGTAAGTGATGATACCAATCATTTCATCCATCCCAAATGAACTGAGGGTCCTGGGAATTTCACCACATCAATGCAGCCTTTTTTACATTATTAACTGGAGAAAAGTGGGAACCCTTTAAGGATTTTTTAAGATTAAAAAACAAAAATGAGTCAAAAGGAGCCAAATCAGGACTGTAAGGTGGATGCCTAAAAATTTCCCAATAAAACTCTCACAAACTTGCCCTTGCCCTTACTTGATGAGAGGAATGAGCAGGAGCATCATTGTGGGAAGAGCCTCTGGTGAAGCAGTCCCAGTTTTTCAGCGAAAGTTTTGTCTAATTTTCTCAAAACATTTTCACAATAACAAGAACGTCAACAAGCAAATGTCTTGAGCATCCCAAAACACTCTTACCATAACCTTTGCCCTTGATCGGTCTGCTTCCACTGTTTGGTAGCCATTGTTTGATTGTGCTTTCTTTTTAGGATCATACTGGTAAAGCCATGCTTTATCTCCTGTTACAATTCTTCCCCAAAGTGCTTCAGGATCTTGGTCCTAACTGTTTAAAATTTATATTGAAAGCTCTAGTCTTGTCTGCAGCTGCAATTGCCTTTAAATTTGCAAGGGAAGAGACTGAGTTCCTCATCTTCCTCTAGGGGATCCTATGTTCCTTCCCATCCTTTGATCTGCTTCTTGCTGAGATAATCTGTGTCTTCAGAATTAAAGAAGCCAAATGTATAAACATACATAAACATAGGACTTGCTATGGCCATGAGACTTTGCCTGACTTGACTTTGAGCTCTGCCTTCAATGGGCCATTAGTACTTCAAAGTTTTTAGGATGTGAGACAAAGAAAGTTTCTTCTATAAAGGGATTTCTCCTTGTGGGAACTGCAACATGATTCCAGTGAGGACGGAAACAGAGTTCTCCACACCAAAATAGGGTTTTCCTTTGAATGACTTTTCCATCTTTCCCTGTACCTTCCTCTCCACCTCAACCATGCAGGAAAGAAGCTGGAAGCAGGAACAATGGGAAGGTTCCATTGCTATGCAAGCTGCTGAAACAACAAAGGAAAGTGGTCATTATAGGAAGCCAAGGCGTGACTGACTATCTGCCGTGAGTCAATTAGAGTATTCAGCTCTAATGGGGAATCCAGTGACTCTGTAGGATAAGCACTAGACTGTAGATCTTGTGGTTGACTGTTCAAGCCCAGCCCCTCCACAGGAGAAAGATGACATGTTCTGCTCCCACAAAGATTTTCCACCTTGGAAACTGTGTACATGGTGTTGGAACCTATCTGACAGCACTTAACAACAACAATAACAAAAGTTCACAATTTGAACCCACCAGCAGCTCTGTGGGAGAAAGATATGGTAACCTGCTTCTATAAATCTCTACAGCCTTGGAAACCCTATGGGGGCACTTCTACTTTGTCCTGTAGGGCTGCTGAGTCAGAATCAACACCACAGTAATAGGTTTGCTTTGAGGAGGAACTGGGCTAAGTAATGTATTTCATTCATCTGAGAAACAGTCATCTGAATGTTCTTCCAGACAAAAGCCACATGTTCAGGTGATGGAGGAAACGACTGGGCTTTCCAGGGTGATGTGGAGAACGCTGACACACAAAAGCAAGAGCTCCAAGTCTTATTGTGTCTTGTTTAGATTTCCTCCAACTCTGATTCTAGTTAAGTATGGATTTCTTCCACATCCTTTTGTCATTTCTTTTATCCTATTTTCTGTCTGTCAGCACCCCATAGGCATTGAAGTTGTTTATTTAAGTGCAATTAAGTTGGTTCCGACTCGACTCATAGTGACCTTATACATAGCAGAACAAAACACTGCTTGGGCCTGTGTCATCCTCACAATTGTTATGTTGAAGTTAAGCCCATTAATGCTGTCACTGTGTCAATCCATCATGATGTCCTTCTCCAGGATCTGGTCCCTTCTGATAACCTCTAAAGTATGACAAAGAAAGTCTTGTCATACTGACTTCTAAGGAACATTCTGGCTACATTTCTTACAACACAGATTTGTTTGTTCTTCTGGCAGCCCATGGTATCCAACATCATAATTCAAATGCATTGATTCTCCTAAGATCTGCTTTATTCAGTGTCCAACTTTCACATGCATATGAGGCAATTAAAAATACCATGGGTTGAGTCTTCAAACTGGTATACTTAGCCTTCAAACTGGTATCTTTGCTCTTTAATACTTTAAAGAGGTCTTGTGTAGCAGATTTGCCTAATGCAATACATCGTTTGATTTATTGACTGTTACATCCATTAGTGCTGACTATGGATCCAAGCAAAATGAAGCTTTCAACAACTTCAATCTTTTCTCCATTTATCATGTTGTTATTTATTGCTTTGGTGTTGAACAATATTTTTTCTTTACATTGAGGTGCAATCCATACCAAAGGCTGTCTTTGATCTTCATCAGTAAGTATTTTAAGTCCTCTTCACTTTCAGCAAACAAGGTTGTATTGTCTGCACATTATAGGACATTAATGAGTCTTCCTCCAATCCTGATGTTTCATTCTACTTCATATTATCAGTTGCTCAGATTAGTTGCTTGGAAACAGATTGAATAAGCATGGTGAAAGGATACAACTCTGGTGCACACCTTTCTTGATCTTAAAAAGGTTCAGTATACCCTTGTTCTGTTGAAGCGACTGCCTCCTGATCTATGTACAGATTCTTCATGAGCACAGTGAAATATTCTAGAATACCCATTCTTCCCAATGCTATCCATAGTTTGTCATTATCCACACAGTCAAAGCCTTTGCATAGTCAATAAAACACAAGTAAACCTCTTTCTTGTATTATCTGTTTTCATCTAAGATCCATCTGATAGCAGCAGTGATATCCCATGATGGACAGGTTTCAGATGAGCTTACAGATGAAGACAGACTAGGATAAAGGAGACACTGACTACTTCCAAATATTTAGTCACTGAAAACCATATGAATAGCAGTAGAACACTGTCAGCATCAGAATATTGAATATTAAAACATGAATATTGAAATGCAACAACCACTAAAGTGAATGATGATTAAATTGAAGAATTCTATCAACTTCTTCTGTCTGAAATTGATCAAACATTCAATCAAAATGTATTGATAATTACTGGCAACTGGAATGCAAAGCTTGGAAACAAAGAGGAACAATCACTAGTTGGAACACATGGACTTGGTGATAGAAATGATGCTGGAGATCACATAATAGAATTTTGTAAGTCACTGTAAGACCAATGACTTCTTCATTGCAAATACTTTTTTAAACAACATAAAAGGTATCTGTACACATGGACCTCACCAGATGGAATACACAGAAATCAAATTAACTATATCTATGGAAATATATGGTGGAAAAGCTCCATGTCATCAGCCAAAACAAGGCCAGAAGCAGACTGTGGAACACACCATCAATTGCTCATATGCAGGTTCAGGCTGAAGCTGAATAAAATTAAAACAAGTCCACAAGAGCCAAAATACGACCTTGAACATATCCCATCCAAATTTAGAGATCATCTGAAGAATAGATTTGATGCATTAGACACTAAAGATCAAGGACCAGAAGAGTTGTAGGATGACATTAAGAACATCACACAGGAAGAAAGTAAAAGGTAATTAAGAAAACAAGAAAGAAGGAAAAGACCAAAATGGATGTCAGAAGAGACACTGAAACTTGCTCTCCAGCATAGAAATCCTAAAGCAAATGGAAGAAGTGAGGAGATACAAGAGCTGAACAGAAAATTTCAAAAGTCAGCTGGAGAAGAAATATTCTAGAATACCCATTCTTCCCAATGCTATCCATAGTTTGTCATTATCCACACAGTCAAAGCCTTTGCATAGTCAATAAACAAATGTGCAAAGACTAGGAGTTAGAAAACCAAAAGAGAATTACACACTCAGCATTTCTCAAGTTGAGGGAACTGAAGAAAAACTTCAAGCCTCAACTTGAGATATTGAAATATGAGCAAAATATTGAGTGATGCAGAAAGCATCAAAAGAAGATTAAAGGAATGCACAGAATCACTGTACCAAAAAGAAATGGTCGCTGTTCAATCATTTCAAGAAGTATCATATGATCAAGAACCAATGATCATGAAGAAAGTAGTCCAAGGTACATTGAAGGTGTTGACAAAGAACAAGATACTAGGAATAAATGGAATACAAGTTGAAATATTTCAACAAACATGCAGCACTGGAGACACTCACTCATCTATGCAAAAAAAAAAATGGAAGGTAACAACCTAGCCAATTGACTGGAAGAGAGGTACCTATTCCAAAGAGAAGTGACCCAACAGAATGCGGAAATCATCGGACGATATCACTGATATCCCATGTGATTAAAGTTTTATTAAAGATAATATAAAAATGGCTGTGACCATATACTGACAGAGAGCTTCCAGAGGTTCTAACCAGATTCAGAAGAGGATGTGGAACAAGGGATGTCATTGCTGACATATGGCTGAAAGCAGAGAATACCAGAAAGATGTTTACCTGTGCTTTATTGACTACACAAAGGCTTTCAATTGTGTGGGTCATGACAGCTATGGACATGAAGAATGAGTATTCTGGAATACTCAGTTGTACTCATGGGGAACCTGTATATTGACCAACATAAACAACATCAAAGGCATTTGTTCAAACAGAACAAGGGAATACTGAATAGTTTAAAATCAGGAAAGGTGTGTGACAGGGTTGTATTCTTTCACCATATTTATTCAATGTGTATGCTGCACACATAATCCAAGTAGCTGGATTATATGAAGAAAAACATGGCATCATGAATGGAGGAAGACTCATTAACAATCTGCAATATGCAAATGATACAACCTTGCTTGCTGAAAGCTAAGAGGACTTAAAATACTTACTAATGAAGAGATAGCATTGCTGATGTCTGATGGATCTTGGCTGAAAGCAGAGAATATCAGAAAGATGTTTACCTATGCTTTATTGACTACGCAAAGGCTTTCGATTGTGTGGATCATGACAAGCTGTGGACAACATTGCGAAGTATGAGTATTCCAGAACAGTTAATTGTACTTCTGAGAAATCTGTACCTGGACCAAGAAGCAATTGTTCGAAAAGAGCATGGGAACACTGAATGTTTTAAAATTGGGAAAGGTGTGCAACAAGGTTGTATTCTTTCACCATACTTATTCAACCTGTATGCTGAGCAAATAATACGAGAAGCTGGGTTATATGAAGAAAAACGTGGCGTCAGGATTGGAGGAAGACTCATTAACAACCTGCGATATGCAGATGATACAACCTTGCTTGCTGAAAGTGAAGAGGACTTGAAACATTTACTGATGAAGATCAAAGACCACAGTCTTAGGTATGGATTGCATCTCAATGTCAAGAAAATAAAAATCCTCCCCACTGGACCAATAAACAACATTCTTATTAATGGAGAAAAGATTGAAGTTGTCAAGGACTTAATTCTTCTTGGATCAACTATCAACACTCGCGGAAGCAGCAGTCAAGAAATCAGACAACGTATTGCATTATGCAAATCTGCTGCACAGGAACTTTTTAAAGTGTTGAAGAGCAAAGATGTCAGCTTGAGGACTAAGGTGCGCCTGACCCAAGCCATGGTATTTTCAATAGCCTCATATGGATGCAAAAGCTGGACAGTGAATAAGGAAGATCGTAGAAGAATTGATGCCTTTGAGTTGTAGTGTTGGAGGAGAATGCTAAAAGTGCCATGGACTGCCAAAAGAACCAATAGATCTGTTTTGGAAGAAGTGCAGCCAGTGTGCTCCTTGGAGGCCAAGATGGCTAAGCTTCATCTCTCATACTTTGGACATATTGTCAGAAGGGAACAGTCACTGGAGAAGGATGTCATGCTGAGTAAGATGGAGGATCAGAGAAAAAGAGGAAGACCCCCAACGAGATGGATCAGCCAGGTGGCATCATTGATGGCGTCAAGTATGGCAGCGGTAGTGAGGTTGGCCCAGGATCGGACGTTGTTTCGTTCTGCTGTGCATGGGGTCGCTATGAGTTGGTTCCGACTCGATGGCACCTGACAACAACAACAACAATGAAAATCAAAGACCACAGTCTTTGGTATGGGTTGCATCTCAATATAAAGAAAACAAAAAGCCTAACCACTGGACCAATAAATAACATCCATATGAGTGGAGAAAAGATTGAAGTTGTAAAAGCCTTCATTTTGTTCTGGTCAACCATCAACACTCATGGAAGCAGCAATCAAGAAATCCAATGACATATCGCATTGGACAAATCTGCTGCTCAAGATCTCTTTAAAGTGTTGAAGAGCAAAGATGTCAGTTTGAGGTCTAAAGGTGCTCCTGACCCAAGCCATGGTATTTGCAATAACCTCATATGCATGCGAAAGTCAGAGAATGAATATGGAAGACCATAGAAGAACTGATGCATTTGATTATGGTGTTGGAGGAGAATATTGAAAATATCACAGACTGCCAAAAGAACAAATAGATCTGTGTTGGAAGAAGTATAGTCAGAATGCTCCTTAGAAGCCAAGATACCCAGAATTTGTCTCTTGTACTTTGGACATTTTCAGGAGGGACCAGCCACTGGAGAAGGATATCATGCTTGGTAAAGTGAAGGGTTGAAGAAAAAGAGGAAGACCCCCCAAAGAGATTGATTGGCACAGTGGCAGTAGCAATGGGCTCAGGTGTAGCAACAATTGTGAGGTTGGCCCAGGATCTGGCAGTGTTTCGTTCTGTTGTGCGTAGGGTCGCTTTGAGTTAGTGTTGACTAGATGGTACCTAACAACAACATCTGTAGTTCCATATCCTCTTCTGAATCTGGCTTGAATTTCTAGCTGTTTCCTGTCAATGTATTGCTGCAACCAGTTAAAAATAATCTTTAGCAAAATTTTACTTGCATATGATACTAATGGAGTTGTTTAATTTCCACATTCTGTTTGGTCACTTCTCTTTGGAATGGGCACAATATGGATCTCTTCATATCTGTTGACCAGATAGCTGTCTTCCAATTTTTTTGACATAGATGATGAGTGCCTCCAGTGCTTCATTAGTTTGTTGAAATATTTCAATTTGTATTCCACAAATTAGAGCATAAAAGAGAAATGGTGGCAACAGCAGATAGCAGCACATCTCTTATCCTCCAGAGAGAGGATAATTGAGCTCTCCTTTCTAATCAATAGAAGAACCTAGTACATTCTGGAGTCATTACCAACCATTGGAACTCATTGATGAGATGAACCTATTTATACTTTTGAGGAAAACTGGAATCATCTATATGAATTTGGAAATGTGTTCAAAGAATAAAAATTCAGAAGGTCTAATAAACTGAACTTCTCAATTGATCTTATAGTGTAACTGGACAGCAACCCACTTACTGAAAATTGATAGCTTGATCCTATATTCTACAAAGCCAAAGTGATTGATAGTATCCACAGGTTCTAAGACATGTATTGTGTGATAAACATGAAATGGGAAGATCAATCCATTTTAAGGGATCTGGATTAATCACGGATGTTTTTACTAATGTGAGTGCCAAATCTCAGAGTTCAAGTACAAACAATCAAATTAGCAGGCCAAGCTCCAGAAAAATGTTAAAGCTTGCTTTGAGTGGTCTCTCACCTTCTGTGTTTCCCACCTACCCAGTATACTCAGGGCTCTATTGATTCTCCAAAATCCCTTCCAAAGGGTTTCCTCTCTGCTCTAAACATACGTATCCATGTTCTTCCCTCCCCACCAAGGATCCCCTTACTTAAGACATAACAATTACTAGTGACTGATGCTGTTGTTGGGTGTTGTCCAATGGATTTCAACTCATAGCAAGCCCGTGGGTGTGATAGCATAGAGCTGCCCCAGAGGTGTTTCTAAGGTTATGATCTTTACAGCCGCTCCTCAGAAACCCTATACAGGGTCGCTATGAGTCAGAATCTACTCAATGGCACTTAACAACAACAACAGTCTTTACAGGAGCAGATCACCAGATCTTTCTCCAGTAGAGTCACTGGGTGGGTTTGAATCTCCAACCTTTCAGTTAGCAGCCAAATGCTTAATCGCTGCCTACTAGGGCTGCTGTAGTGACTGATAGGCAGCCTAAACTGTTACCTGCCCTAGGGAAAAAGGCAATTGTAGGATTATAAGAGTCAAAGCATTAAGTCTCCAATTGTGGAAATGTAGGCACCAGTAGCAGGTTGGTGAGAAAGATCCTTCTGTAGCAGAGGATTTCTGTTGGTCCTGTTATCACTACATAGAGGTCACCCATACTGCCCCTGGATGTGGGAGGGAATTGCTGATTTGTGACCTTCCTCTGGTTTTAGCTTAGAAGAATTCTACATTACAGCAACCCGTTCATCCTCTTCCTCTTCCTGTTGGCTTTCTCCACTGCCACGATCATGCAGTGCTTCCTGCTCGGCACCTTCTTCTCCAGAGCCAGTCTGGCAGCAGCTAGCAGCAGCGTCATCTACTTCACCCTCTACCTGCCACACATTCTCTGCTTCACCTGGCAGGACCAGCTGACAGCTGAGTTGAAGATGGCTGTGGTGAGGGGTCACTGTGGTTTGTGATATGTTTCCTCTAAAGGGTTGATAGCTCACACTAGGACGAGACCCACCTTTGCCTCTTGATATAAAAGGGCTGTCGGCTGAAAGGCACATGGATAGAAAGTGTGAGAAGACCACACCCAGAGCAGCTTGACAGTTACTCCTCACCCAACCTGCCTGATGAATCTGCCCTGGGAAGTAATTGAAACACCTGCTCAATTCACAGGTCCTTTTATTTATTCCTAAGAGGACGGCCAATGGGGCAGGCTACTCTTTTAGGAAAGGGGATGGAGTAACTTGTCCCACTCGTTTGTCAGATTATTCCTTCTAGAGAGAGGCTTCCATGACTTATACGTTGGTTTTTGTCCAAAACAAGTTGCTCTCCCAGGGCAGGCAGAAACGGACAAGGAACTGGCCCCAGTCACACAGGACCAGAGCACAGTCAGGAGAGGGCTCCAGGACATGGCTTGTGGTTGCTGAGAGATCTCTTAGTTCACTAGTCTCAAACTAACAGCACTGTCTTTTCTCTGTCATTTCCACATGAGCCATTTCTCTCCCCTCACTGATACAGGTTAGAGTCCTGGTGTGGGGCTGTACAATAAGCACTGGACTGTTACCCCAAGGTAGGCAATTCAAACCAACCAACTGCTGCTCAGAAACCCTGCTGTTGTTGTTGTTAAGTGCCATCAAGTCAATTCCAACTCATAAGACCCTGTATAGGGTTTTCAAGGAGCGGCTGATGAGTTTGAACCTCTGGCCTTGTGATTCAAACCCACCTTGAGGTCCTGTACTTTTATCCCACAGCACCATACCAGGAGTCAGAACTGACTCAACAGCACTAAACAACAGCAACAACATTGACACAGGCTGGTGTGGCTCTGTAGGATAGTGTACCAGACTAACGAAAGGTTGGTTTGAACTGCAACGTCAGCAGTTCAAACTCACCACCTGCTCCCCAGAAACCCTATACAGGGTCACTATGAATCAGAACCAACTCAATGGCACATAACAACAACAAAGCAGCTTTCCCACCCTGTAACAAACTCAAACCAAGCTAGTTGCCATCAAGTCTATTCGAACTCATGACAACCCCATATATGTCAGAGTAAAACAGTGCTTCATAGGGTTTTGAATAGCAAATTGTTCCAAAATAGATTGTACCACCCAGGGGCTGATGTGCCTAAAGGCTGCAGCCCTCCTACATTGCTTTGTCTTCAGGAAGCTCCCTGCCCACAGGTGTCTGTTTAGTTGTGTCAAGAAAGGACTGCCATCTGCCTGTGTCTTGGGGAATGCTCTCAGTCTAACTTGTCATCAAGAATCAGACTTATTTGTTTGGTTCCAGAATTGTTAAGGCATTTGCCTTTTATTTCTTATGTTAAATAAGAAATTAATTGCTGCCTTTTATAGCACCCAATTTTCTAAAATAATCACAATGGTCTGGTTAACAAGAATTTCTATGACTCAGACTGTGGGCAGACCTGGGCTATTGGAGCAATTTGGGTAATCATTGGGTAGAAAGCTAGCGGGTACTTTCAGACCACAGCTAATTCTGTTGTTGTTAAGTGCCATCCAGTCAGTTCCGACCCATAGTGACCCTGGTATAGGGTTTCCGAGGAGCGGCTGGTGAGCTTGAACCACTGACCTTGAGGTTCAAACCAACCTTTCAGTCCAGCACATTAACCTCTAGTGCCATACCAGGACTAGAAGCAACTGTATGGACCTGGGTTAAACTGAGATATTAAAAGGTGTTTTCATAAAAATATAGCTAGAGAATCCCTTCTTTTTGCAGAGAGGAGCTCAGAACTCCATCCTGTGGCCTCCAAACTACAGAGAGGCTTCTGAGCAGAGGAAATTCAAATAGTGAAACCCCTCAACTTTTGTACTTTCTGCCCATCCACAGCCATCCATAGAGATTTAATTGGGGAGCTACTGCTTCAGATTTCTATCTGCACGCCATTGATTTAGTTTACTTGTTTCCTACACAGAAAACAAAAGAAAATGACTGCCCCTCGTCTTGCCACAAGGAAAGGTCATCAGTGTAAGGTGAGATTTTTCTGGTCTCTTCGATAGATATCAGGAATCATGGAACCATCTCCTGCCTAAACCCTAGCCTGCCCTAGGAAACTGATGGCCTCTGTGCACTCTTCAATTGGGATTTTCCCTAAACATCTCATGTTGACATTTTTGTCCTGCCAAGCCCTATGTAATCTGAAGAAAGAAGTAGGAAAGAGGGAGAAGGGGAATATGACATCCTTTTGTCCTTGGATGTAGTCTGCTCTGTGGCATTTCTTTGTCTTCCCTATTATTACTCATCCTTGTTCCATTGAAGAGGTGAGAGGTAGCCTAGTGTGTATTGGGCAGAGGTCCCTGAGGCCTGAGAGACATTTCCAGAATTATCTTCCTATGGGAAGACTACTTTAACCTCTAGCGTAGTGGTTACGAATTGGGCTGCTAACCTCAAGGTTGGCAGTTCGAAACTACCAGCGGTTCCATGGGAGAAAGATGAGGCATTCTGCTCCCGTAAAGATTTACAGCCTCGGAAACTCTGTGCAGGGTTGCTATGAGTCGGAACCGACTCCACAGTACTTAACAATAACAACAAGGTGGGCTTATAATTGGATACAAAACCTCTTTTGGATTTTCTCCCTAACTGTGGGCTTCTTGGTGCTGTTGTGTTAAGTGAAGGAACCTCTGCTCATCTCCTGGCCCCTTTTGTCCCCCTGTAGAGCCTGCTGTCTCCTGTGGCATTTGGGTTTGGCACTAAGTACCTGGTTCACTTTGAAGAGCAAGGCCTGGGGCTATAGTGGAACAACATGGACAAAAGTCCTATGGAAGGTGATGAATTCAGTTTCCTGATGTCCATGAAGATGATGCTTTTGGATGCAGCTCTGTATGGCTTGTTTGCCTGGTACTTTGACTAGGTGTTTCCAGGTATGGGTCTCCCTCCATAGAGTAAAGGCAGTTGGGTCTTCAGATCCCTACGTCCACTGCTGTCCAGTTGGTTCTGACACACAGTCATTCATTCATTCTAACTTAAATTTTTATTATTTCTAAGCTCTTTATCTTCTCAGAAACATTTGAAACTTAAATCTAGGTGTTAAAACTCCATCAGCTAACCATGTTGACTCTATTTCAGAAATACATCCAGAATCTCAACCCTCATTAACTACTTCCACCATTGCCTTCCCAGTTCAAGACTCCATCTTCCACACTCACCTACCATACTGTATTCAGAAAGATCCTTTAATAATCTAGTTCAGATAACGTCAGCTCCTGTTAAAATCTTTCCAGTGATTTTTCATCTCAATCAGAGTAAAATCCAAGGTCTGAACCCTGGCCAGGTGGTGTTATGTGCCATGGCGTGGGCTCTGGTCTATGACATATTATGTTATTCTCGTCTCATACCCTAGTCTCCCATGCTTCTCTATTCCGGCCACACCAGCCTCCTTACTGTCCTTTAATGCACCAAGTACATTTCTTGCTCAGGGTCTTTGCATCTGCTGTCCTCAGAACCAGAAGCACGATCCCCTTTCCCCCTACAATCTGCAGACTGCTGTTGAACTCCTGTTCAAATGTCACCTTAACACAGGAATTTTTCCTAATCAAAAATATCTAAACATTATCCCTTCATAATTAGCATTCTTTCAGTGCTCTTTACCCCTTGCCCCACTGTATTTTTTAAACACTCCTTACCACCTGAAATGATACACCTTTATGTGTTTGTCTGTTGACAGTCTACACTCAAGAGAATTAAACAACATGAACACAGACACTGCTATTGGCTCATTGCTTAAAATAGTGCCTGATATTTCATGGACATTGAATAAATATTTAATTAATCATAGTTAAGAAACTCCTATGGAGTAGTTCTGCTCAATAACACAGGTCATCATCTTAAATCAGAATTGACTCAGAATGTTACAGCATGGAAAATCAGCTTCTGAATAAAATTGGATGTTTGCACAGTTTTATATATGTTTCACAGAAATTGATTTTCCATTCAAATTTCCCGTTTCTGGTAGTTAAGAAGTCTCTTCTCCACTTCAGTGGTCTCCAAGTCAGCCCCAAACCACCTTGCATTCTGGCAGTTGTGGACTGGTCTCTTTCCTGTAGTCAGCAGCAGGCAGGGAAGAGGAATGTTGGGCTTGATCCAGAGGGAAGGATGAATTCAAGTAATCAGATCAGCTCAACAACCCTGGTATAGGAGAAAGAATGAGAGACTGAGAGTCAGAAGGTCTGGATGTATAACTGTGTAACACACTTGACCTTGCTCAACCTCTCTTTCTTTTCTCTCTCTGGACAAGAGTAAGTCCACACATGCACAGGTTTATCCTACACAAAATGTGTCAAAATATGTCTCTGTGGTCAGGGGATGGCTACAGGCAAGTTCTCTCAGGAATACACTTATTCTCATTAGGGTGCTTTATTAAAAAATATATATGTATATATCCAGTCAAAACAGTGACTTCCAAGGGGATCTGTTGGACCAGGTCAATTCATGGCAAAGAAGTCAACTCAGAAGGTTCTGGTTGTTTTGTAATCTAAAGGAGTAATCTTCACATCAAGGATCAATCCTATCCCCTACACTGGATTGATAGGGACAGGCAACTTAGACATTGGCGACCTAAAATGGGGACGCTATAAAGGCACGAAGTGACTGGCTTACAAGTTTTCAAGAGGAAGTTTAGTTTCAAGAGGAACGTAGAATCCCCACTGAATAGTTTTCATATTGTCTGGTGAAAGGAGAGAGGGAGAAAATTCTTATGATTCAATAGTGAGTGATTGTTATCATGACTAATTGCAACTGTCACAACTGTAAAGGTAGAAGTTTTATAACAAAAAGGGGGGAGTAGTTAATCTTACATTCCAGGAACAGAGGACCCTAGCACCATCAAGGGAGAAGAGCATGAGTGGAATGTGGGACCCTATCCAGAGAAGCAGTGACACCGAGACAGAGGCAGAAATGAGGACATGGAAAGATAGAGCATCTGAGGACTCTAGACTCATAGAAAGAGAAAAGCTGTGTGCTGGCAGCCAGGAGGCAGGCTTACAGAATGTGCCCTTTGGTTGTTTAAATTATTAAATATTTCTAAGTGCTTTTGGGTACAGCAAAAATACAAAACAAAACAAAACTGGGAATAGAAGAAAAAAAAAAGAAAGAAAGATGTATCTGATAGATTTTCTCAAAGGACACAGAACAATTACAGGAGCTCTGGCAGTGTAGTGGTTATGAGTCAGGCTGCTAATCTCAAGGTTAGCACTTTGAAACTACCAGCCATTCCACATCAGAAAGATGAGACTTTCTGCTCCCTTAAAGATTTGCAGCCTTAGAAATCCTATGCAGGGATGAGTCAGAACCGACTCCACAGCACATCACCACCACCACCACCATAATGAAGATGGAGTCCTGGTGTGGCACTGTAGGATAGTAGGATAAGCTCAGAACCACAAAGTCAGTTTGAGCCACAAAGGTCGGCAGTTCTAACTCACCAGCTGCTCCTTGGAAACCCTATACTAGTTCACTATGAGTCAGAACAGGCTCAAAAGCACTTAACAACAACAAGATGATGAAGATAGCTGATGCACTTAGCAAAGTGCTTGGAACATGTTGTTGTTAAGTGGTATCCAGTCACAGCAATCCTGTATAGGATTCCTGGTATGGCACCATAGGATAAGCACTGGACTGAGAATCACAAGGTTGGCAGTTCAAACCCACCAACCATTCCTCAGAAGCCCTATACAGAGTCGCTATGAGTCTGAACCAACTCAACAGCACTTAGAAAGAAATTTTAAGAAAACTGACAATTATATTGATGAGAACAAGGCCAGGATAATTGCATGAAGAAATTTCATTTTTCATCATAACTCATTTTTTCTAGGATAACAAGGGCTCCACGAAACTTAACAGCAATAACAAGGGCTGTTCTATGAGAATTTCCTTAGGAAACCCTATCCCATCCATCCTACAACCCTGATCCTACATCCTCTGACTGAATGTTGCTCCCAAAACCCAAAGAACATTTAAAAGGAGCACAATTTGAGATTGTTGAGGGTGACAAAACTGCTGTTTTGATGTGGTGTAAATTGAAGAGTGCCAAAGAATAGAAACATTGCCTTCAGAAGTGTATAGACCTAAATGGAGGAGATGTCTAGAAACAAGAGTCACATTTTTATATCTGTGTTTAATAAAGTGTTCTACGACTTTGTAGCAATACTTTTTGACTTACTCTTGTAAGTGAGAATTACTAGTTGAATTGAAATTTCTAATTGTGCCCAATTCAAAAGATTTATTTTAAACAAAAGTTTTCACCTGTTCAACAACCATTTACTGAGCAGCACTGCATGTTGGGGGTTCAGCAGAACCAGGTTCTGGAAAGAGAGGGCATGGACAGAGTGCTCCAGATCTGCTTTTGAGAAACCTCTGACCTAGCAGTGGAGGAAGCCTTGAAACATGAGATGACTATTAAACAAGCAAAGACAATGTTCTCACAAAATCAACATATTTGCAAGGAATGAAACTTGCTAAGAGAACTGAACTATAAATTTTGGAATTTTGTACCCGTAGCGTAGTGCTTACAAACCGGGCTGCTAACCTCACGGTCGGCAGTTCGAAACTACCAGCCGTTCTGTGGGAAAAAGATGAGGCTTTCTGCTCCCATAAAGATTTACAGCCTCGGAAACCCTGTGCAGGGTCACTATGATTCAACTGACTCCACGGTACTTAACAACAACAACTCAGATGAAGTTAGTGAATGGGGGACAGGGGGACACTAAGAAAAGTGGTATTAAAACCTGGTTCCCTGACTTTGAATTCCTGAAACTCTGTTTAATGAACTGTGATCTTCAGTGGATTATTCAAGCTCTGCATGCCTCCGTTTCTTTGTCTGTAGAGTCATAATAATATTACCGATCTCCTAGCGTAGTGGTTACGAATCGGGCTATGAACCTCAAGGTCGGGCAGTTCGAAACTAGTAGCAGTTCCGCGCGAAAAAGATGAGGCGATCTACTCCCGTAAAGATTTACAGCCTCGGAAACCCTGTGCAGGGTCGCTATGGGTCGGAATCGCCTCGACAGCACTTAAACAAAGTTTTTCGAAGATTAAATTGTCTGGCACAGAGAAAGTATCCAACAAATATTAGTGATTAATAATTATGATTATCTGCTAAACTGTTGGAAAAGGATATAATTTAATTTTTATGATTTTTGGAATGGGGGAGTTGTCAACCAAGACCATTAATTAGACTTAGTATTGCTACTCTCCGCCCCCCGCAGAATATAACCTAGATAAAACCATTTTTGGAACAGAGTTTGTAGTACTGTTTTATGGTTTGTTATTGTTCAGTGCCATGGAGGCGATTCTGACCCACAGTGACCCTGATATAAGGTTTCCAAGGAGCAGCTGGTGAGCTTGAACCGCCTACCTACCAGCTCAAACGGCTTGGCAGTCTGGCGCCACACCAGGACTCCGTGTTATGGTTAATCAACTGTTTATGGTTACAATGTGATGTTCAGATAGATCAATTCAAGATCTTATAGAGCTTTGGTAAAGTGGGATAGGAAGACTACTTAGGCCTTTTCTCTTTCTTCCCTGAACATTTTTAGGGGATTATGGAAACCCACTTCCCTGGTACTTTCTTCTACAAGAATCCTACTGGCTGGACGGTGAAGGTGAGTTATTTAAAATCAAAAGCAAAATCTTAGTGTTTGAAACTGGCTTCTTGGGCTATGTGCGGGTTGTAGAAGAGGCCCTGTTTGTCATGGATATGATTTCTGATAAGTGAGCTGCCACCTGAGGGGCTCATAACTTTTTTGAGCCCACCTTTTGTGCTTCCTGAAAGACCCTGGACTAGAGCAAATAACCAAACCCTGGGCCCTATACAACTCCTCGTATGGCACTGTAGGATAAGCACTGAACTTCTAGCTGCAAGCTTGACAAGCACTGAAATGCTAGGGTCGGCAGTTCAAATCCACCAGCCGATCCTCGGAAACCCTATACAGTGTCACTATGACTTAGAACTGACTTGATGGCACTTAACAGAAATAACATACAAATACTTCCTGGTAGATTGTTGTTGTTGTTAAGTGTCATCGATTCCAACCCATAGCCACCGTATGTAGAGTTTCCGAGGAACAGCTGGTGAGCTCGAACCACTGATCTTGTGGATCAAACCGATTTGTAGTCCAGTGCATTAACCTATGGTGTCACACCAAATTAAATTACCCTAAAAGGAAGGCTGAACCACTGCAGGGCAAATGACTTTTGCAACTTCTCAGATTAAGGCAGAAATCCAAAGAATCATGAAGGATTTTTGCGTGCCTGATTTTTAAATTCTAGTGCCTGCTTTTTAAAATTCCTCTTTAACTTTTCAAAACATAAATTAATTAATTTTCCCAACATGATGGCGCATCCATAGATTGGGTGGGACTTTTCTGGGGTTGCTCTTTCTTGTGGTCCAGGGAGGAGAACTGGACAACTGGCCTGGGATGGATATTACATAGAATTTACCCAGGTGTCAGGGAAGGCTGGCATGTTGCTATGATGCCAAACAGGTTTCAGTGGAGCTTCCTGACTAAAACAGATTAGGGAAAAAGTCTTGGCATTCTACTTCTGGAAATCAGAAAAAGAAACCCCTATGGATTACAAAGGTTTGAGCCCCAAGTGACTGTGCTAATGACTCAGGATTGGTCAGCATTCTGTTGTGCTGTGCTTGGCATTTCATGAGTAGGGCAACTAACAACAATGAACTCTTACTACTGAGCAAGACAGGAAGCCCAGGGAGAGTTTCTAGAAGTGGAAAACCAGACTCTTTTGTGAGTTATGTAAAGAACTTTCAGAACTATGAATCTGGGGACTCCTTGGGAGCTAAGAAGTTTCAGAAGAAAAAAAAAAAAAAATCTTTCTAATTTGCTTTTCCTTCACCTACTTGCTCTTTATTTTATAGTATTGGAGCTGGGCCAGCATTTATTCTTTAAGTCCCAAGATAGATATCTGTTTTGTTTAGGGCAGGGGTGGAGAACCCTTTTTTCTGCCAAAATGTATAACATCATTCATGGGCCATACAAAATGATCAACTTAAAAATTAGCCTGGCTATATTTGGTCAAGCATTTAATTAACACCCCTAATGTGATTGCGTTGGCAGGGCCAGACTAACTGATTTCTGGGACCTTATATGGCCTGTGGGCCAGATGCTCCCCATGCCTGGCCTAGGGGGTTAGACCAGGGCATTTAAAGGCTTTTTTCTTTCTAATGGTTCAAACTATCATCACTTTGACAACTCAGCGTTTTTCTGTGATGTTAGTCTGTCTGTCTTCTCTGTCTAGTTTTAAATTTTCACTATCATAAATGTATAATCCCATCACTAGTAGGAATTTTCAACACAGGAATATGCTCCTAGAATGTTTCTAATATCAGTGAATGTTAGGACTTGTGCAATTTTCTTTCTCTACAATCACTGCAGACACTCTACCTATCAAAAAATATATATATATATCTTAGGACAAATGTCTTCCTTCAAAAGCTGAATCATATTCACACAGATAATCGGAAAGGTGTGTTTCCTTCCTTTCCCCATGTTCCCATTGGTAACCAGAGGTGAGACCCTGCTCTCCTGGTGTTCAGAGCCACATGGTTTGGAGCCACACCAGTGTGAGACAGGAGCTGATTGCTCCTCTATAGCACACCACTTTGGTGCATGGATTCAGGCAGTATCTGCTCTAGACCTACAGAACCACAGAGCTACCAAACCAGCATTTAAACAGTTACGCTGTCACCAGGTATTCTGTGGTCCTAACAGATACTGAAACCAGCTCCATTAAGGGTCTCCACGAACTACTTCTGGATTGAGTACCCTGAACATAGATAACTTCAAGGCCAATAAGAACTCCATGATCATATTCCTCCCATACCCACCTATGAGGTCCTTGGCTTGCAGAAACCCCCAGAGTTTTCTTAAAAAAAAAAACTGGAGAATGTTTGCTTTGGGTTTGGGATTTTTGTTTTTGTTTTTTTCCTTTTATTGTTTCATTGCTTTTGTTTAGTTATTCTTTCTCCATTTGCTACTCTTTCCATTCCCTTGAATATTATCCTTTCTATCTCTACCTTTGTTTTTCCTTTTGTTCTTCTTTTTCTCATTTCCTCTTTTCTTTTCCCCCATTCTAATCTTTCCTACCTACTCTCTACTCTTGCTTTTTAGGAGAGCCCTGGTTTTTCTAAGTGTTTTAAAATTTTCTTCCTTTTAATTCCTTTCTTATTTTTTCTCTTCTATAGCTCCATTCCCCTATCCCTTTTTTGTCTTTATTATATTCTTTTTTTCTGGTTACTGCATGTTTTTATTTATTTTTTATCATTAATATTTTCTCTTTTCATTGTAGGTTCCTTGAGTGTTGGTTTGTTTATTCTGTTTTGTTTTATTGTGTGGGAATGTGGGACAGGTTTTCTCTTTCCTACCCAACAGGAGACAGCAACCATGCCCATACAACCCAGCCACAGGCATACCCTCTGCAGCTCCATCCACTGGGCAAGAGCAAATACCACTCCTATACTACCTGATCCATGAGAGGCAGCAGCAGCCACACCAACCAAACCCACCCTAAACTGAGGTGCATGAACGGCAAATGGGCAGCAGTGCACACACTTTCATTCTTTAACAACACCCACAGGACACAGTTGGTGAGAGCCTAAGAATACATCAACACACAATAATCAATTAAATACAATTATGACAACCCCACAATGCCCCAGAGATAACAGATAATTTTAGCTAACATAAAGAAACAAGAGATAACAGCTCAAACAAATGACCAAGATGCAGAGACAGAAGACATTTCTAAGGAAGAAACGGTAATGGAACTAACTGAAAAATAATTCAAAACAATGCTTAGGTACCTTCAAAGGACAGACATAAAGATCAAGGAAACAAGAACAACTCAGACAAAAACTTTAGAAGAATTTAAGAAAGCACTACAAGAACAAACAGACAAAATAAATGCAATATTTGAAACAATACAAAACCTGCAATTAGAAATCCAGAAGATTTTTTAAATGTACAATACATTAAAGGATAAAAAGAAGAAGATTCGAAATAATGGAAGCCCAAATTAGTAAGTTTGAAGATAAATCTCTGCATATTAATATGCTAGGACAATCAGAAAAATGAATGAAAATAAAAAATTTAAAAAAAGAAAGCCTAAGAGTTATGTGGGATACCATAAAGTGGTACAGTTTAGGAGTCTTCAGAATTGTAGAACAAGAAGAGACAATCAAAAGCACATAGAAAATTGTCAAAGCATTGTTGGAAGAAAACATCCCTAACAACATGAAAGATGAGAAGATAAGCATACAAGAAGCTGAATGAACCCCAAACAGGATAGATCTCAAAAGAAAATCACCATAATCAAACTTTCCAAAACCAAAGACAAGTAAAGAATCCTGAGAGTAGCTCAGGAAAAACAAAAAGTTGGCTACAAAAAAGAACCAATGAGACAAAACTCTGATTTCTCAGCAGAAATCATGCAGGCAAGAAGGCAATGGAATGACATATACAAAACTCTGGGGGGGTGGGGGGGAAGGCAACCAAGAATTGTATATCCTGCCAAGATGTACCTCACATACGATAACAAAATCAGGACACATCCTGATAAACAGAAATTAAAGGAATTTGTAATGACCAGACCAACTTTATAAAAAAGTACTAAAGAGAACCAGCAACAGCAGACAACAACCTGAAATTACCACACATGACTATGCCACCCAAAACTCAATCCAGATATAGAAGCATTTAAGGTAAAATAAACCTACAAGATTGACTATAGGAAATCAGAGATATCAATTTATAAGGAAGTCAATTACAAAGATAAAAGAGGGAATAGTGTAGACACACAACTTCTAAATAGCTAGGAAATCATGTAGACTTCAAGATAAAATATACTATTTTAAGTAGAGAAAAATTTAATAAATTATAGGGTAACCCCCCAAAAAAACACACCTGCATAAAATAAAAAGAGAGGAGAACCAGAAAGATTTGGTAAACATTGTTGTTGTCAGGTGCCATCGAGTCGGAACCGACTCATAGCGACTCCATGCACAGCAGAACGAAACAATGTTCGATCCTGGGCCAACCTCACCACCGCT